GTCTGCTATCTCATTTAACACTTGCACCAGGCTTGAGAAGTAGGTACTATAACATCTATTTTATGGCTGAGGAAAGCCATTTCTCCAAATTCAGACACAGACATCGGTGATTTCCAGAGAGGCTCAGTAGTGCCTGACTCCAAGGTTGGCACTTGATTTTGAATGAAGGCAGCAGTCCCTCACGGCAGGGCCTTCGTGGGGTGGCAAACACTCACTGTGAAAGAGTAAGTTCTACTGCAAGCTGCAGATGGATTTATGAATCCTGACACTTTACAAATGTCAATAGTCTGTCATTGAACATTTGGGCAGGGCAGACTCAAAAATTATTAAAGTATAAACATTACATTTTAAACAGTCAATTAGACAACCCTATAGGTTTCACTAACTAGAAAGGGTACCTTCTCTCTACTTAAGGACATAATGAGAAGCAGAGATATTCCTCTATAATCAAATTTAGGAAGCTAGGCAAAGTTTCAGCTTTCAGTTACAGGCGAAATTGAGAACAGAAAGCCAATGCTGCTAAGCTCCATCTAAAAGTCAGTTGAGTTGCGAATGGGAGAGACTGGGGCGGGGGTCAGACCAAAGACGGCTTCGCAACATTCCAATGGATCCAGTTGACAGGAAGAATGTGATGGAACATGGTTTCGTCTGGAAACAAATTTTCTTTTAACATAGGCAGAATTTGACTGTCAGATGCTAAAGGCTCCCACTCAAAGTTGCTCTTGTCTAAAAACATTTTCAAAGAAGCCTAGCACCCTGGCCCCACCCCACACGCCTGACCTCCACCTTCTCCACAGAAGCCAACCTTTGCTCTCAGTATTCAGCGTGGCTTTTTCCGCTAGGCAAGGTATGCAGGCCAAGGGAGGCAGGCTGCAGGCAGAGCCGGGAAGGGCAAATGGGAGGAAGGAGCTGCCTTTGGTTTGTCCCTTCTGCTCTGTTGTCCCTAGCTCCAAGCCCCTGACTTACTAACGCGGCTGGCCAGGGGAGCTCGCCTGGCTGCCAGGAGCAGCTCAGCAGCTTGCAGCTCTCTGACTGCAGCCCGGATGCTGCCCGGTGCCTTCCGTGCTTAGCACCTGCAGACACCTGGGCAGATCATGCTCACTGGCCCCCACAGCCTTTTCCACAGGGGCTCAGGGGGTCCCCCCAGCCAGCCCAGGCAGATGCAACTGCAGTGTTCAGCATTTTGCAGAGAAGAGAGCATCAAGGAATTGCTGAGCCAAGGGGATAAACACTTCAGAAGAAATTCCCCCCTGAAATGTCTGGGAAAGTAAGGACCGGTGGACTGCCAACTCCGAGCAGTGACCACGTGCTGAGACCCCCAAACTCGGGTGCATGTTTGGTCAGTAGCAGAAAGCTGCACAGTCATGGATAACAAGGCAGGGCCAGGCCCGCCATCTCTGCTGTCTCCCGTGTTTATCCTCATGGTGTGGGGCTCCGGTTTTTGTGTCACAGAGGGGCGATGAAGATTTGTGGGGTCCATACTGTGGGTTCAGCTGGCTGCCTGCACCTTCCTTTCTGCAGCCATACGAAGGCCCCTGCACCAGCTGCCGGGCTGCTGGCACGGGAGGCTCCAAGTCTGAGAGCAAGGAGCTGCACCTCCTGGGAGGGTGAGCGGGGAGATGAGTCCAACCCCAACCCAAGAAGCCCACCAGCACCTCAAGCCAGCTCTGCCAGAGAATCTTTATTGTAATCTTTTCATCATTCCTATTTTTAAGCTGCTTTTTGCTTTATGTGGGTCTCCTTAGAAATTCTGACTTCTTTGAAACAAACAAAAAAAAGAAATGTGTCAGTCATCTTTCTTTTCTATTTTTTTGGCTTTTTGGGGCAGGGTTTCAGTATGCAGTTCAAGGCAGTCTTGAAATCACTTTGTAGCCCAGGCTGGCCTCAAACTCACAGCGACCCTCCTGCCTTAGCCTCTCAAGTGATGGGAATATAGGCATGTGCCACCACACCCAGCTTAATCACCCTTCTGTAGCTGGGACAAAATACCTAATATACACAGTTTAAAGGAGCAAAGCATTTAGCTCTTGGTGCTGGTCAGCTGGCTGCAAGGCCAAACAGCACAGCAGGAGGGTAAGCTCCTGGGCTTCTCCCAAGCCAATCAAGATGAAACAGCACAGGAGGTGTCCAGCAGGGAGACTCCTCATTGCTTTTATGAATAATTTCTGACACATGCTTATTAAAACCTACTTACTTTTTCTGGGGAAAGGCATTCCCTGGCCAAGGGGCATGGAGGATACCAGGAGCAAAGCAGGTCTTCACTTCTCCCTTCCCATCCTCTTCGGGCTCCTCCCTCCCAGGGCTCCCTTCTGAGGCTGTGATTTGAATTGGAGCCAAGGTGAGAGGATCAGAGGATTTCTCGCCAATAGGTCAGAGAGGAGAGGTTCCCAGGAGAGATTTCCTCCAATGAAATGGAAGCCTCCTAAGAAGCCAGAAGGAAGAATGCAGAAGGAAACCTCTCCTCCAGCTGCCTCAGTAGGAGCACTGCCTGGGTCAAACACAGCTGGAATGGGGCCTGGCCTGGGAAGGTGGCCCTTGGTGGTGGTCTTGGGCCTGGGGAGTCTTTCCACATTTCGGCCATCAGCTGCTCAGGGCAAGGTTTTGGGGAAGCTGTGGACAAATGAATTCCTAATACTCTTCCCATCTCTCAGGGCTTACAGGTCCTCTCATCTCCAAATGTGACCTCTTTTTGATGGCTGCATGTTTTCAGGATTGAGAATAGAGCAGCATTTTCAGAAGATGCTTTGGATTAGAACATTCTAAGCACAAACTTTATTATTATTGTTCTTACTATTTTGCAATATTAGGGATCAAACCAAGGGTCACTTTCCTCCTGAGACATATCTCCAACCTTTTTTTATTTTATTTCGAGACAGGGTTCACTAAGTTGCCCAGGTTGGCCTAGCACTTGTGATCCTCTTGACTCAGCCTCCCAAGATGCTAAGATTACAGGTGTGTATCACTGCGCCTAGTGAGAACCTTACTATTTAGTAAGGTGGTGTTAAGCGGGGAGATTGAGGTAGAGCCAGTGAGCACTGGTCACTGGGCGTCTGAAACGCCCTTTCCTTATCTCTGACACACGTCACACAGCACTCTTGAATTCAGCAGTTTGCAGAGACCAAAGCAGAAGTCAACTGGGAAGGAATGCATGCAAGCCTGCAGCCAGGGACCTTGCAACCCACCAAGCGCCTGGGATGGGATCTATTGTGCCTCTGCTTGCGAGTTTCCCCACTGAAGTCATTTTGAGGGAAGCCAACAATAAATAGCGAAATATGCAGGCAGAGCCCAGAAAGAAAGAAGAGGCTGGGTTTTTCAAGCAAATAGCAATAGTAGCGGGACTGTTTTCCTATGAGGAAGAGGTCTGGGGCATACAAACCCCACATACATGAAGCAAACCTTTGAGCTTCATACTGTTTTCCTGGGATATTCTTCAGTTTAAATTCAGATGAATATTGATAAAGGAAAGAAAAAAGGAAGACACAAAGGCCTTCCTGGGCTTGGGTGACCACAGATGGTGAGACCGCCCTGCTGCATGCAATTACTGGCTGGAGAGAAGCATTTTGCAGGCAGTGGCAATTACCTGGCAGGGAGCAGCTGAGACCCCTTTGTGTACAGCAGGAAAAGGTGGAGAAAGTGCCCAGGGACCCGATGCCAAAGAATCCTCATGTTGTACCTGGGCATAGCTGTACTTCATGCTTAAAATAGTAAGCCCGAGTCTCTGCCTGCTCTAATGGAAGGTGCTAGTTTTAAAGGAAGGACCCAGCATGAGTCTGCATAGGAACATACTGGGAAGCTCTCCAGATTCTGTGCTCCTGGTCCCCGTCACCTTGAGATGCTACTGCTCTCTCTCTCTGGGCCTCACTACCTGACAATGGATGACGTGTGGGAATTCTTCAGAGCAAATGGGTACCGGGAATTTCAGACTTGCTTTTGGTTTTGCAGCTTTGCTTTGACCCAGGATCTTAGATTCTCTGGCCCATTGTTCATTCAAGAAAGATTACTGCAGTGATTGCTGCTGCATCACTGCCACATGGACAGGTGGCCGTGGCTACATGAAACGCAGGCCACTGATGATGAGGTTTTCATTCCCATTAAAAGTCAGATTGAAGCAGCTTTTAGGCTCTTCACTGTGGCTTGTATTTTGGAACCATAATGGTTGGGAGGTCTGGGAGAGGAACTGACTTCCCCCCTGCCCAGCTCCACCTGCAGACAGGCAGGCCAGGCCCTCAGCCACTGAAGAAGTCAATGGAGCAAAGAAACCTTGTGCTAAAACATTCTGGCCTTATTCGTTCAGCTAGATTTCAGTCTGTACAAGCACAGTTACTTACCTGCAGGTTAAATATTTGGAAAGGAACAAAGAAAAGGAAAAAGGCTAAAAAAAGAAGAAACTGGTATCCTCGAGGGCAAGAGGCACTCACGGTGCAGCCCAGGAAGCAGGGGTGTACGCATGGTAGCCCGCAAGCCCATCTGGCTGCTGTCGACATGAGAGGAGTTTTACTGGAATCTTTGCGCCCTTTCACGTCTACTGTCCACGAACGTTTTCAGCAGCGCTGAGCGGCCAGGATATAGACCTGGCCCACAAAGCTCAAAATATTTATTATCTGGCTCTTTGCAGAAGAAAAATTGCCAATGTTAGTTTTTTTTAAACAGAATTTCCTTTAAGTTTGGAAAGTTAAGTGTTTGGGCAAGAAAACTCGGTTAATGGGTAACAAATGTCATCAGATACTTCCTAGGGAGCAATACTATTCAGGGTCAGACCAAGTGGCCTTCAATTTTTCTGAAGCACCCTTTCATTATCCAAATATTCAATGCCGTACTTTTCCAGGCTTATAGTTGCTCAGAGGCTTCCCATTCTCTGTCCGGCAGCAATGAGACCATGACATTCACGGGCCCCACGGTGCCCACCCCGGGAAGAAGGGGCAGCAGCAGTTCGTTTCCACCTGGATGGGGCTAAGTGTGGCTGCGACCACCATACTGGTGGGCAAAAGCCATAACCGTACCTGTTGGCCAAAAGCTGGGATCTGGTTCCTGAGGGTGAGGTCAGGTAGATGGCCAGGTCTCCTCTCCGGGGATGGGTGATGGTGACACGCACAACCACGTGCTCCAGGTAGTTGACATAGTGGTTGGGATTATCAGAGCAACCTGAGGCTTTGAAGATGGAGCGTACTGCACTGTTGGGGCGAATTGTCCTGTAACAGGGAGGGGGAGGAGAAAAGGGAGGAGGAAGGGAGGGAGAGAGAGAGAGGGAGAGAGAGTGCTTTGAGCAAAGTGTGCAACAGAGCTCAATTGAGTGATCCTGGAGGCTTATAATAAGTGTGCAAGATAAACAAGCAGCTGGCCTGTGGATATTAAATGGTAATAGTGCTAACACCTAAATAATCGGGCCACTTAAAGTATTGATGGTTAGAAAGATGCAGGTGGGAGGGGGAAGGGCCAATCAAAGCCCTTTTATCTTCATGCAAGTAGTGGGTCTCTAACCAGACCTTGCCTTGGAATCAACTTGTTAATATGCAATGGTGGGGTGGGGTTCCCCAGCTCCGAGTGGCTGAGTGGGCAGGACTGGGGTGGCTTGTGCCTGTGTATTTCTAAGCTCTCAGGGGACACTGGTGTCGCTGATCTAGGGAAGACACTGAGACCACTATTGCATGGTGGTAGCACAGCAGAGGCTTGGGAACATGCACAACCTGCGTTCCTGTCCTCAATCTACACTTGTTCCATCACCCAGGGGCATGCTGTCCCCTCCCTCTGTAGGGTAGGTTTCTGTCTTCCTCTCCAGCTTTCTCCTGTGCCCCAGTCCACTGTCTGGGACACTCCGAGCTTCCCACCTTGCAGGCCTGGTGACACACCACTCTGCCTGCAGGACTTTTTGTGCTTGTAGTTTGTTCTTCTTCCTTCAAGATCAAAGCTTAAGTTTCACATTAAACCAGAGGTAAAACTTGATCTCTGTCTCCAATTTCCTGCCTTTTGAAATTTGCAATATTCATTTAGAATTTATAAATACCTGCTTGTTTTATTTTTGTTTTTAGTCTTCTGACTAAACTCCACAAGGGCAGGAAGCAACTTTTATCCCTCCCTATCTTCTGCCTAACAACTAGCTTAGTGTTTTGTATTTGGGAGAACAAGAAAAGCAGTGGCTGAATTGGTGAATGAGTTTGTAAATGGATAAACAAAAAAAATTCCATCATATAATTTTCTCATTTATCAAATGGGACTAATATTCAAGCGGTGAGCAAGCTTTAGGAAATCTCAAGCATTAGGCCTGACCCATAATAAGTGCTCAGGAAATACTAATTTTTCACTTTTCCTTTTTCCTCTCATTCTTTTCCTCAAAACAGTGGAATGGAGAGGAAAAATATTACTTTCTGTTTCATAACAAATTTCTTCAAGAAACTGTAAAGACTCTGGTATCACCATCAACCAAAGTTTATATATGAATATTTTTGAGAGATAGTGGTCTCTGATAAGAAAGCTAAGAAGTCATATCCTAGAAGGCCACTGAGCAGGGATGCTGAGCTCTGGATGTCACACCTAGGTGTGACTTTACACAACTGGTAAATACTCTCTGGTGTATGCACAATTAACCCTGGGGAGCAGACCCTTCTATCTGGGAGTGAGCTGCATGCTCATGGAATTTACATTTTATGTTACTCTGGAGAACAATATGGCTTTAAGTTAAATTTCTAGAACACATGTTTTGTCCTTAAAGTATATCAGCTTCTGAAGAATATTTCCACTGACCAATAGAGTTGGGCAGAGTAAATGACTTTGGAACTCCCACTGGGAAGGGGCTCCCTAGCTCCTTTTGCTTTTAAGGATCCTGGGGTATAGCTTAGACATTTTATCACAACATTAGAAGTACATTGGAAAGAAATTAACAGAAGCTTCTAGCTTCCATGTGTAAGCAGGGGCTGTCGCAAGCACTGTGTCTGAAAACATTACTTGATTTGCCGGTCTGTGCTCTCCACACACACGTGCTGCTGAGGCACAGTGGTCCACTTCTCCGCCTCCATCACCATGGCTTCAGCATCCATCAGTCCAAATCCGTAGAGGTGGCTCACTGGGAAAGGCAAGATGTTGGTCAGCTTTGCTGTGCTAGCGGCAGTCTGTGCTACATGCGTTGAGTTATAAGATCATTCAGGAAAGACCTCAGACACATCCCCATGTGATCCTAGCTCTCTTTCCAGCAAAAGATAAAAACCCAACCCAACCAAACCAAACCAAAATATCTCAAGAAAATAAGATGAATGTGTATTGTTCATTGATAGTGTTGTAGTGCCGTGAATATCATTTATAAATCATTACTACATCATGCTGGGCACTCATCTACATGTGGACCTGTAATCCTCCCAATGTCTAATGCTAAGATATTAGTGTGACTATTGTCATCCATAAGGATGACAAATATAAGGAATAGAGAAAAACATGCCCAAGACTGATCCCCAAATAAGTGGTGGGGCTGGATTCTAACTCACACAGTTTTACTCTAGGGCCCCACTATTAATCACTTGCATTAAAAAATGATAACACTGTTGGTTTTGTGAGATAAAGTGATTAAAAGATTTTGTAGCGTGCATACCTTCTCATAGTACAAGCAGAACTCACATGCAAGAAATACCAATTTTATGACATATTAAGCAATTAGGTTAAATATTCCAGAACACATAATTACCTTTCTTCTAGCATATAAAAAATTCATTAAGCTATATGCATAAAATACTTGAAGGCCTCTAGACTTTTATGCTAGCTCTGTCTTCCTATGTGTTAGTTCTCAGTTAGATACCTATAGATCAAAAGCTGAATTTGACATAATTGTCTCAGAAATGCCAATTAAGTACAGCAATATTTTAATGAGGATACAGCAAAATTTATATTAGCAGTTTTTCCTAAAAATACTTTAAATTCCCGTTGAATAGTTGACATCTCCACATTTTATTTAACTGTATCCTATATCTTTATCTTCAAGACGAAGTCATACTTTTACCAGATTTTGTCTAGTTTGTTCCCATTACGGTACTAGTTACGCAAACATCTCTATATTGCCCATATTTATGTGTTAAGTATATCAGGTTGAAAATCATGATGTTCTAGGATACTGCCTCATTGTACTTCCGAAACAACTTCCTCATCAAATGTGCCACTCTGGGACAGTTTGTCTGTCTCACTACTTCTGCTCTTGGTTAGCCCTTGGCCTGAAATTCACAGGATGTTCTTTCTGCTGAGTCAAATCCTCCTCGTGTAAGTCCCTAAAGGCCTCGGGTACCTATCCTTTTCCCCGACTAATGAAATATCACAGATACTTACTAAACCTTAACCATCTGGGACCAGTAAACGTTTATCCTTTGTACTCGTATAATTAATTAATTTATCAATCCATTTGCCTACCAATCCATCCATCCATCCCACATGACGGGTCTTGTATCAGGCATTGGATTTTTATCTCTGCCATCAATTTCACTGGTAATTAACACCATCTGTTAGTATGTGTCCTTTTATTCCAGCTGCACTGTATCTGTTTTAAATATTTCTTTAGCAGAACTTTATGCACATGGGAGCACAAAAAATACTCTATTTTCATGCAATCTGTTAAACACATAATTCTTAGTAAATAAAATAAGTAATTCTAATTTCCTTGTTTGGGGTTAGTATGATTAATTCTGCCACTATTACGAAGTTTATTATTATAATATGCACCATGTGAGAAAATCTGTATAAAGAACCATACAAATACCAGGGTTCATTATTTTACTATCAGGCACTAAGCCCAATAGGCCATTCTAAATTAAAAAACAAATAAATAAGCCTACTTTACTCTGACAAGGACGTACTAGGATTTTAATATATATTTCTGCAGCTTTTATAATTCATGATTTTCTTTCTTTTCTTTCATTAAAAAGTAATACATGTTCATTATAAAAAGCACCAAATATATCCAGGAAATACAAAAATGTCACCAATAATCTTATTAAACTGGCAACTTCTATGAACAATTCTATATTTTAGTTGTATAATATTATGTTAGATTATTAAAGAGAGAGAAAGTGATCTATTTGATACAGGAGAAATGTCATGTTTGATCTTAGGAAAGTGTAGGGGAAGAAAGGATGGAGGGAGGTTGGAGAATAGGTCCTAGAACACAGTGAGACAGGAGGAATAAGTTTTCCTGTTCCACAGCACAGGAGGGTGATCAGAGTTCACGATAACTTTCTACGTATGTTATAAAGAACCAACAGAAGAGTGCAAAGGCTCTGAACATAAACAGATGATAGGCAGATGGTAATACTGGTCACCCTGATTTGCTCAGTACACACAGGGACACATTAATGTGCTCTACACATATGTACAACTATTACATGTTACTTAACGAGAAAAAAAGTAAAGAAAACTAAAAACAGGTTTCAGCTAAGAAAACCAAATTGTAAAGATCTTACTAACTTTCACGTAACTCCTTTGTTTTCACTGTCACTTACCCATTGCCTGTACCATTTCATCAGGTACATTCTCTGACATTTCCTTTCCCTGAGAAAATTCAACGTTTTACCAAAGATATTATGCTAGGTTCTCTTCCTGTTTAGGCAGTGTAGTTAGTATGCAAACATGGCCCTGCCATCCACTATCTGGTGTCAAGTGATTAAAACCAGTGTAAGTCATCATTTTATCTCAGTTTAGGAGGATGAGATTAAAAGGTGGGCCAGTAAGTGGACAGTAGGGAGAGGATGCAAAGGTCTGAGGAGGGCAAGGGCTTTGTGTAGCCATGGCAACCCTGGGGCATCTTGGGGCAGCTATGGCCTGGGCCCTGAGCTCCAGCTCCACCTGCTGGCCCAGGTCCTCTTCTGCCCCATCACCAGCTACCTGATGACTGTCAGAACATAAATTAAGAAAGATGTCTATTAAACCAACACTTAAGTAGCAAAGCACCTATGTCTTTACGGAGGTCATTAATTTGTTTCCTTTTCCAATTCAATTCCTATCCTTTGGGGGCAAGGGCGATTCATTAAATACTCCAAATAGATGTAAAGAAAAGAGACTGCAGTTAAGCTGCAAATTGGTGGGTCAACAGAAATAAATTATACTAATATAAATAAACAAAGAAACCAGATCTGATCATTGAAGGCACAGAGTCAGTAATGGAGATTTATAGTATTTTGAAAACATTCAAAATTGTATATGTGCCCCCAGTCATGACACACAGCCCAAGAAAAATATGAATGAATGTCTTCGTTCTCCTTTTTGGGCTTGGCAACATGTTAACTCTGTTGTTTGGAAGGCAGTTATTGTTTTATTTGTAAATAGTAATGAGAAAATAATTACATGGTAAAGGCACTGGAAAGACAGATTCCTTCAAATCCAGGTGTCACCAGGGGAGATTGCCATCAAACAGTTCGGAAGCACTAAAAACTTTTGATTAACATAAAATTCAAACACCTGAAATGACCCACAGATACAGAAATACTGGTTTATTTAACTTCTTCAGACATTGGAGTTATACCTGTTTTGCCTGCCCCTCTGTCACAGTGAACCACGGACATCAGTGGCTGCAGACAGCCTTGTTCAGACAAAAACTTCTGTAATAATTTGTGAAATGAACGGATGTAACAGAGAGAATCTTTAATGCACCAAGTGGCATAAAGTGTTAAAGAGAAAACTGCAAGAAGAATTAGGAAGTCTGCTCTGTTTATTACTAACTTATGTAAAGTCATCAATAATACATGAAATTTATTCAAGTACAAAGCCAGTATTCAGATTTCACAAATTGACGACGACAGCCAATGTGCCATTCACACGCACAGCTGTTTTGACAGGGTCCTTCCACATCTAGAGGAGTCTTATTAATACGCGTTTCTCTAGCCAAGCCCAAAGCTTACCCTGAGCCCAAAAATACTCTAATGATGATAAATAGAATCTATTCTGTGCATGAACTGTACAAAATGCAAAATTCTGTGAAGTTAGAGTGCTATTAACATTGGCATGAGTAAGAATCCCCAGCAGTTCAAGCAAAACATTTCCATTCCTACGAATGAGGGCACCAACATCTACTTCAGATTTAATTTTAGTTAAGATTCAAAAATCAAATATAAGAAAGATAGAAAGAGCAAGCCACACATATAGAGTAATTAAAGATCTTGAAGCAAAGTTACTTAAGTACATTTCAGAAAGTGGATTTATCTCTAGGGAGAATAACAAAGAAAAATCTCTGCTTCAAGGTAGGAGATCTGGAAAAGTTGGATGGCTTCATGAGTCCCTTTAGGAACCATGGCTGTTTACCTCTTGCTATGTGAAGACAGTAAGGGAGACCTCATAAAGGAGCTCATTTATGCAGGGAATTCCTTAAGAAAGTGTTTTTGTCTTGCACCACAAGTGCAGTAGTTTTTATTTGAAGCTATCCAAAGGCTTCCTTGTTTAAAACTTTCAGATGGACCATCGGAACTCAAGCTTTTGGTGAGATTCTCTGGAACTCATTTTCTGATGAGATCAGAAGTGCTGAGAAGCTAATCATGAGGTCTATAAATAAGTAATTGGATAGTCTGAAAGCAGATTTAATTTAAGCTGTGGCTTTAGCTAGGAGCCTACAAAACTCAATACTAAAGAAAAGTTAGAAAGCTCAGCAAGCAAAAAAAAAAAAAAAAAAAAAAAAGATCAGAATTTCTAAGCATAAGATGCTATACCCAGGGAAATTTGGTACACTTTTATCTCTTTTAGTGGACTATTCTTACTGGAGCTATCTATTTTAAATAATTTTTGTTAAATATTATTACACAGAATGGATATATCATTACTCTACAATCACTGTCAGTAAAGCACTGTAGTATACATAATAAAGGAGTTGACTGGTTTAAATAAGAATAGTTTTTGTAAGTTTTTGAGCTTTCCCAAGTGAAGAAGTCTTTCTCCTACCAGCTATGGGACACATCGACACAATGTTACATAGTACCCAGTGTAATCCAACACAAAAACCCTAGGAACTTGAGAAAAGGCTGACATTTTTGTACAGACTGGGAAAAAACGCAACCAAGTGGTAACTAACTATTATTGAGTATTTAATATAAAATTCTAATGAGG